TTTGTTTGCAATTTGAATATCAAGCGAAAAAAATTGATAAACAGATTAGTAGGTTTTAAGCTGAACAGAATTTTCTCAAATATTCTAGATTTTTTTTTTCTCATAATTTTTCTGCTTTTACTGCACAGTTTTACAGCGCTGATGGTAATTATGAAGTATCGTTTAAACCACATGTTGTTGTTGATTATACTGGTCAAATGTTATGGGTTCCACCAGCAATTTATAAATCATCCTGCATTATTGATGTTGAATTTTTCCCCTTTGATGAGCAACAATGCCACATGAATTTTGGTTCTTGGACTGTAAATTTTTTTTTTGTTCTTCACTTTATTCACTTTCTATTTTTTTCTTCTACTTTTATCAGTTTTAGCTTAAAATATAAATCAGTTTCAAAAATGATAAAAAATTTAGCAAAAATAATGATCAATTTTAATAAATTCTCTAATGACTTTCATAAGTTTCTTACTTTTTTTATCTGTTTATTTTTTGAAAGAAAAATAAGACGAAGTGGAAGAAGAGTAACCAAAAACATCGATTATTAAGCAGCAAATTTACTGTTATTTCATTATTCTGTTGGCATTTGTAGAGCAAAATTTTTTTCAGTATAATGAAAACGAAATTAGACTGGGTTTTGTACAACATGAATTTATTGATATTCTTGAATATAGAACAAGCGCAATTTGGGACTTAATTGATGCTCCAGCATGTTTGATAAAAAACCGATCTTGGATTGAATATCGACTACGTATCCGGTAAGATAGCCACTTTTCGATACGCCTTACAAAAAAAAAAAAAAAAAAAAACAAGTCAAAACTATCAATGTATAATCTTTTTTTTATTTTTTATGTCTATACTATGCTTATATGTGATTAAAACTCAATAATTTTTCAATTAATTCCAGTTCATTCCATTTTTTCTTTTTACTTGCAGAAGAAAAGCTTTATTTTATACAGTGGTGCTAATAATTCCAACTGTTTTAATGGCTTTTCTCAGTGTAGCTGTATTTTATTTGCCTACAGACTCAGGTAACAGCTGTATTTTAAGCTACAAAAATTTTCCTCAAGTTTTTCATCATTATTAAAACCTCACTGTTGAATTACTAAAACAATATTCTAATTTTGCATTAATTTAAAGACTAAACAATAATAATAAGTATCTTAAAAGAAAAAATCCAAAAAATCAGATTTGATGTTTCTATAAGTAGAAAAAAATAAAGAAACTAGTTGATAAATAGTTGAGATATATACCATTGTTCATAGTTTTTGAGGAATAATTACTAATTGTTTAATTATTATAGGTGAAAAAATCACTTTAACAATATCGGTACTGCTTTCAATTGTTGTTTTCCTATTGCTAATCACAAAAATTCTACCTCCAACCTCGTCAACAATACCTCTGATGGCCAAATATTTGTTGTTAACATTTGTGCTCAATGTTATTACAATAATTGTTACTGTAATTATTATTAATGTCTATTTTCGCACACCGACAACACATTCGATGCCATTATGGGTTGAAACAGTATTCCTTTACGTAAGCTTTGTACCTCTAATTACCAACTGGCAGTCTTATTTACCACTCATATGTGCTGATATACAGCAAAAAAAGAAAATGTTATTGGTTCTTCTTTTGCAGTATTTACCAAAATTTTTATGCTTACCACAGCCACCGAGAACTTACAAAAAGATGATACAGATAAACAAAAAATTGGCTAATAAGTTGAAAAAATCTGTACATATGCAAACGTCTGCCGTTGAAGAAGAGCTGCATCACCCGCTCTGTCATCTAAAAACCAAGTAATCGTTTAATATTCACTAATGCTAACCCTCTTTTTTCCTCTCTCCTACAATACTGACAAAGTAAAAAGCTTATAACTTTCTCCTTTTGTGTTGATAGTAGATTTTCTTTTTTTGTCTCTCCGTTAAACATATATCGTTCACTAAAATTTTTCTTATTTTTTTTTAGATTTAAAAAGAAAACTGCCTAATAATAAAAACAAAAAATAGTCAAAAGAAAGAATACTAAGCAAGAAAGAGCTTAAATTTATGTTAACCAAAAAAAAAAAAAAAAAAAAA